AAGGCCGGGATCCTGCAGGTGAAAGGCCGGGATCCTGCAGGGTGTGAAGGCCGGGATCCTGCAGGGTGTGAAGGCTGGGATCCTGCAGGGTGGGAAGGCCGGGATCCTGCAGGGTGGAAGGCCGGGATCTTGCAGGGTGGGAAGGATGGGAACCTGCAGGGTGGGAAGGCCGGGATCCTGCAGGGTGGGAAGGCCGGGATCCTGCAGGGTGGGAAGGCCGGGATCCTGCAGGGTGGGAAGGCCGGGATCCTGCAGGATGGAAGGCTGGGATCCTGCAGGGTGTAAACACTAGGATCCTGCAGGGTGGAAGGTTGGCATCCTGCAGGTGGAAGGCCGGGATCCTGCAGGGTGTGAACACTAGGAACTTGCAGGGTGGGAAGGCTGGGATCCTGCAGGGTGTGAACACTAGGATCCTGCAGGGTGTGAAGGGTACTGGCTGAACCTCAGTAGCCTGCAGGCTTCAGGTCAGCGTCTTCAGTAGACCTACCTGGCCTGAAGCCTCTACAGGTTGCTTGGGGGCACGATTTCAATACTTTATCCCCCCCAGCCACTCCTGTGGTGACTTAGTGGTAAATTGTGCTGCTAATCCAACCAGAAGGTACGTGGTTTCAATCCACCAGCTGCTCTGTGAGAAAAAGATAGGCAATCTCCTCCCATGAGCTTTACTGTCTATAAACCTGCTGGAGGGTCAGCTATGGATTGCTTCAGATTTGAAAGTACACAAAAACTTCTGTGCTTGCGAATTTGGGGTCTCATTTATAAACAGTCCTTTTAAAATTAACAACTCAGTTAGTGCTATTATGTGTCGCTCTGTTGGAACCAACTCAGAGCTGACCTTCCAGCAGGTTTTTAGATGCTGTAAATCACACAGGAGATTGGCCATCTATCTTTCAAGGAGCAGCCGGCGATTTAAAACTATTTGCCTTTGGGTTGGCAGTAAACTCCTTACCCACTAGGCCACCAGAGCTCCCTCAACAACTAAGGAGGGGAAACACATTTACCTAGGGGGCTTGTACCATCCCTAGGTCATTCTGTTCCAAAGCTTTACTTAACATCTGTCCCTTCTCCCACTCTCACCTTGACTGGACAGAGCAGGTCATACCTGTAGTTGCAGGAGGGATGGTTTTATTTCTCTGCAAGGGTAATGTTTCCCTAGGTCTGGCTTACCTTTGTGTGGGTAAAATAAAGAAATTTAGAGTTACAACATTTGTTGTAAAAGAGAATGTTACTGTTATTTTGATTAAAATATATAATGTGAATGAAAACAAAGCCCCTCTCCTTCTTTAAGTCATAATATAATGTTGATAGATATGTGCCCACTGAAAAGAGAAACTGAAACCTAAGAAGGGGGAAATGTCAGCAGAAAAATTTAAGCAGCTACAGATCCAGGCAGATTTTAACATATACTTTTTTTATTAAATATGTAAAAAGATAAACGCAAGTCAAGTTATTCACATATTCAGAGACAAAACTATTCTAACCATGCGACTATAGATGGGTAATGTAGAATGAATGTGATACATCTGGATAAGACCTTTTCATCTATTGTGTCATTACTTATCTATATTTATAATTAACAATACATATGTTTACATTCCTTTCAGTTTACATTTAATATATAACAAAAGCTTTATGGTGTAATATTTCGTAAAAGTAATCTGAATGCATATTAAACCTTAACGGAATAATGGGGATACTCACCAGGGAGGGAGGAGTTCTTGTTCCCTTCTGGAAGTGGACTTCTCTCGGGTCAACTGGGTGTTTCTATTTTCTGATTCTGCTTTTCTGATTAGACAGACACGCATGGGCTTTCTCTTTGCCCCCTGCTTCGATCGCTCCCTGACTTTAGTAGTGGATGTGCTGTAACTGGCCGACACGGACTGAGGATGAAGTCTGGCTTGCTCAGAGGGTGACAGGCACACCCAGGGAGACTTGTCTGCCCAGTAGGGTAGGTGCTGGCGGGTGGCCACCAAGGGACACATGCCTTAAATGCTACAAGGAGGAAAGGAAGGGGCAGCCAGGGAAACGGCTGTGTGTGCGGGTGAGGAGTGACTCTGAAACCTGTTAAAGCTTCGAAGACTTTATCTTTACCAATTGAATGTGTCTGCTTGGGGGCAGAAAGACTGCAGGAGGGAGCCACCTGGTTTTCATGTCTCAGAGCACTGGCTAGCACTCAACACTGCCCAACCTTGGAGGGAAAGCAAACTGTCCTTTTATCTTCTTCACGTTCTAAGGAAATAAACGGACAGCCAGGCTCCAAACTTCAGGAAGCAGAAAGCAGAATGACTGAGGGAAGGGTCTCCTTTACAGGTTATACGGCCAGTATGTTTACCGCTGGCAAGAGCAAGGCCTATGCAAATGATACCAGGGTCAGTGGTTTCTGGGGAAGACAGGATCCCCACCACTCCCGGCTGTGCCATGTGCTGGCATATACATGAGAGGGGAGTTTTAAGCGTGGTCCACCTGGCACTGGGCCTTCCTCCGATTCCCAAGGCTGGCAGAGAACTGCCATGGTCTGCATGGGACGATGGTTTATTGTGCCTCTTTGCAAGACATATTAAACAAAAAGGAAGTCAGGGTGTGCAATGGGCTCCGGGGGCACCAGACTGGTGAGCGTGGTGCTGCGCCCAGCACAGCCACTACCTATACGCAGGTGTGGAGGACGTCACTGCTGAGAGCCAGGCCTTCCGGCCCTAGAGAAACGTGCTGCGGCTGCCGTGCAGAACAAGGAGAGAGAAGAAAGGGAAGCAAACGCCACACAACACCGGTCCAATTCTGTCATGTGCTCTTGTGACCGCAAAAACACAAGCGGCCTTTCCCATGTATGTCTAACTCAGTCGACAGGCCCCTCTGCTGCCAAAGATTTCTTTTGAGAGGATTCCTTTTGGTGAAAAGTTTCAATGCTAGAGGTTTAGAATTAGAATGTGGTCTATTAATAAAGAAATGTCAAAGCTTTGATGAGACGAAATCCAGACGTTTATTTGAGCTTTTCGGTTTGTGCCGAGAGCTGGAGGGGTGGGGGTGGGCGGGCACATTTGTTTTCTTGGTTGTTGCAACAGCTAAGTCAAATCAGGAGTGAAAGTAAATCTAAAGTTAGAGACCAAGTGAAATGAATGGTCCGGGAAGGGGTACCATTTGTCAAAGGAAGGAACGAAGGGCGCGGGGAGGGGAAGGCAAAGATTTGGAAAACGGACTAAGAAAATGTGCAAATATTAGTTAAAAAAATAAGGAATGCTTTGAAATTCATTAATGTTTCTTCTATTTTTGTATTGCCACTGTTCAGTCAAGGTTGATGGCAGAAAGGGTCCTGACAAACATGAGGGGGCAATTCCTTCAGCTTGAAGGGACTGGAACTCGTGGGTTTTGCTGTGCTGCTGACACCAGATGCAGAGCCATGCCTCTCCTGAAGTGAGGCTTTCACTCATAAGATCACATCCAGTGTTCTGGAAAGGATGTCACATGAGGCAGACCCCGAAGTTGGGGTTGGACACCCTAAGTTATTCTTGAGAAGGAACCTTTAGTATGAAACGCTGGGGTTCAGATGGAAATTGACTCAAGGAGGGGTAACAGGGGAGAGGCAGGGGGACCTGCACCTATTGGACCCCATGTGAACTGCAGAGCGTGATGACACAGCTTGTGGAGAGTGGCTGCCCACCAAAGAGGACCCTGAGAAAGACAGTAGCATGAGAACCGGGGGACGGGAGAGCAGGGATGGTGGGGCACAGGGCAAAGCCGAGATGGTGGTGCCCTTGAGTGGAGGGTTTTCCAAACATCTTTGTGGTGGGCTAACTGCTGGGCCCTGGCGTCCTTGTTCCCAATCCACTTTTCCCTTTCATGTTGTGAGAAGTGGGAGAAACTGACCCTGGGTTTCCTCCCCAGGAAACAAGTCACTGTCCTTATGGCTTTCGTATCTGTTTCCCTTTGTTCCAATTTCCTATTTGACCCAATTTATGCTTGGAGGTTAGTGAGACTTGCAAACATCAAAGCACCACGAATGCATGTGACATCTAGTGACACTGGGTTGAGAAATGCCAATATAAATACCATATATCAAATTACCATTGTTTCACACCAGGATAAAAAGGGAGAGGTGGGGAGGAGGGGGCGGGGGCAGGGAGCCTTGTTCTGGACAGAAATGAAGGAAAGAGCACAACCGATCTGAAGCAGCCAGTGGTGGAGTTGAAGGTATGTGACCCTAGGCTCGCGGGTGGACGGCCGGGGCCGCCGTCTGCTAATGCATCTTGGCAAAGTGAATGGGAACCGAGTGCTGTGGCTGGCGGGTGCGACCTCGTGGTGATGGTAACGGCAGATCGGAAACAACCTGGTTCTGTTGAGCTTGAGGCCACACATGTTCCTATTCTCCAGAAAAAAAAAACGTTCCCACACGAAACAGAAGTGTCAAGAGCTGCGGAGACGGCTCAGTACTCTTCCTGCTGCTGCGGCTGCTGTTCGTGGACGGGCTCCTCGGCTTCTGGCTCCTCTGTGTGACCCTCCTGTGGGACAAGGAGAGAGTCTCAGCGGGAGGCACAGGCGGTTTATAAGGCCCTGCAGTGTTCACGGCCTGACACACTGACACTCTCTCTTTCTCTCACACACACACCCACACTCCCCCCAGAGTCTCAGTGAGAGGCACAGGTTGTTTATAAGGCCCTGCAGCGTTCACGGCCTGACACACTGACACTCTCTCTTTCTCTCACACACACACCCACACTCCCCCCAGAGTCTCAGTGAGAGGCACAGGTTGTTTATAAGGCCCTGCAGAGTTTATGGCCTGACACACTGTCTCTCACTGTCTCTCCTCTCTCTCTTTCTCTCAGTCCCCAGATAAGCAAGCTTATTTAAAAAGTGAGAAAAGGATAATAACCAAGCTTTGTCAGCTTCCCTGAGCAAGGGGACCTCTCCACCTCTCAAGGACCTAGGGACACCTATTTAAGGTATCTAGCTATGTGAAGAGCAATGGTGTCTCTCTGGAGACTAAGGTGCATTTGATACAGGCCATGGTCTTTGCAATCAGTTGTTATGCATCAGAGAGTTGGACAGTGACCAAGGAGGATAGAAGGAGAATTGATGCCTTTGAGCTGTGGTGCTGGAGAAGAGTATTGAGAATACCATGGACTGCTAGGAAAACAGATTTGTCCTGGAAAGGGTTAAAGTGGGTGGCTCCTTGGAGGCAAGGATTCTGATGCTCCCTCTAACATACTCTGGACATGTTGTGAGGAGAGACCGGTCCTTAGAGAGGGACATCATGCTTGGGAGGGTGGAGGGACAGCACGCAGGAGAGGAAGACCCTCTATGAGGTGGATTGATTCAGTGACTGGGATAATTGGGATGGGAGTGTCAGAGACAGTGCGATTCACACAGGACAGAGTGGAGTTTAGGGCTGTTGTACATAGGGTCGCTATGAGTCACAAGCGACTCAACGGCACATAACAACAACAACAACAGGTATGTGTTTTCTTTTTTGCTTACCTTCTAGTTACTGCACAAAAACCAGAGGAGTGAACTATTCCTATACTTGGTTCCAAACATCACAAGGATTCCAGTGCCCAAGCAAGGGGAGCCTATCACTAACCCGAAGCCCAGGGATCAACACCCTTCTCCAGTTACAGCTGCAAGGACTTCCCACCTCCTCCTGTAAGAACAATTAACTCCTTGTTACCAAGCCAGAGGAGCAAGGCCAGTGAATAGTGGCTACCTTCTGCACAGTGGTAATGCTATTCTGGTAAAGCCAGGAGTGTGCACCTGGGCAGACACAACTATACAAGTATATAATGTTTTCCGCTGTGCATACTTCCGAGGTATCTCTGGGTGGATATGAATTTTCAGCCTTTTGGTACACGAATGATGATTTGTTTTGCATTATTTCAGACTTCTTACCTAAGGTTCCACACTGCTGATTTCCTGAGAGCTAGTAAAGTTATAAGCATAAACCCTGAACGTCAGAGTTTGGCTATTATTTAACATCTTTGTGACTTTGAGCACGTGGCTTAATTGCTTTTTTTGCTTCAATTGTCTCATCTGTCACATGGGGATAATGAGAATATTAATGTAGCAGAATTATGAGGATTTGAAGGGTTAATATACCTAATTAGAATACATATGTTTCATGTATCTATATCTATCTATTGATCTCTATGTCTAGTACATAGTAAATATTTTAAGCTTAAACTATAGTCAGTATTCCTTTGCGGAGAACATTTTTATGGTCAATATAAAAATGAATCCTCTTGGTCACAGCCAACAGTAAAAACTGGACACTGAGTTGAAGGCTTGAGTTCAGATCCAGGGCTGTTCCTCACTAGCTCTCTGCCAACAGGCAAATAATTTCATTAACGGTTCTTCCCACACCCATGTCCACACCCTGTTGTTACCCCCTAGAAATGCCCCACCTATGTATGAAACGTTCAGGCCCAAGTTCTCCCTCTGACCACATCACACTGCACTCTGTGATTTCCACTCCTTAATTCCTTAACTGCAGATGTCCCTACACCTCAGTGAATGCCCCCCAGCCTGTCTTTATCCCTTCCCACCTGCAGAGTTAAGGGTGCTGTTGGCCTAATTTTTTCATGATAGCCCTGGTCTCCACACTGTAACACTAAAACTTCAGCTGGACGCAAGCAAGCTTTTGTCTTATTATTTTTGTGCAGCTACGGCAGCTGATGGAAAGAACTCGGAGGATCTGACATTCTACAGGGAATCTGTGTTCCTGTCATAAGTGGGAGTTAACTATGGGATAATGGAGTGAACCCAGGACTAGGAATCAGAAGTGACAGATCCTGGTCTAGCTAGCTGAGACCAGGCACATGTCACCTGGGTCCTGGTCCCCCTCAGATGCCTCTCCTGCAATACTTGGGAGCAAGGGTGTGTGTGTCTGTGTGGTTGGTTTAGGACCTTGACCTAGCTCTGTGCTCTCTGGCTGGCCAAGGCCAGCTCCCCACGCACACCGGGTTGAATCCTGCTCACCGGACACCACCCCGTGATGTAATACCCTGCAGGAGCTGTGGCCACAGATGGCTTTGCTGGACAACCAGGAGGATTTAAGGAGAAATTCCTCGAATTGCTACAAGATTGTTCATGCTCGGGTGCAGCAGCAAAGTCTGGCAGCCACAGCTGTAATTTGTAGGAGGCTGTGTCATATATCACAACTGAGGGCTTCTCTGCCCACACAGTGCTCTGGAGGCTCCCAGACAGAAACGCTCTTCTCATGCGCTCCACGTAAGAACAACGGACTCCAGTGCTCGTTCAGTGGGAGGCCAGGCAGGACCTAGGGCAAACCTGGTGCTAATGCCCCGGAGTGCTGCCTCCTTGATCAATGAAAACCTCTGCATATCAGCCAATCACATCGCTTTACACATCAGCTGGGAGTGACTGTGCTACGACCAGTTTCAACAGTGATCAACTCACAGCTAGTCTTGGGTTTTGTTTTCTTTTTTCTCCTCACGATCCCACTCTCTTCCTCCATCCCTGAATAATTCTAAAGTAAACGAGGCTTCATAGCAATGCTATTAATGACAGATCTGAACCTTATGCCATCCTGCACGATCCTCCTATCTCGGAAATGTTTGCGCCCACTGTTACAGTTGAAGGTCTTCCTCTCTTTCTCTGACCTCCACCCTTTCCAGCCTGCTATCTTTTCCCAAGGCCTGGCCCCTCCTGTCAACAGGCTCAAAGGGTATGAGATGCAGTTTCACCATCACAGCCTCTCAGGAGCACTTGGTTGGCTGAGAAAGAAAGAAGACCCTCAGGTCACTTTAGCAGTGGCTCCCTCATGAAATGTACAACTGTTTATAGTCAGGTCCACGCAACCAACAAGGGAACACATTGCTACCCTATGGCTAAGTGCACAAGCCTCTGGTCCCCAGACAAAGATTACAGAAAGGATAATGCAGACGGCAAGAGACACCCTGGACAGCTGAGTGGCGATGTGCTCCAGAGAACTCCGTCAGGTTGCTTTCCGGATTGGATTGTCTCATCTTCCAAACAAGACATTCTAGGACTGTTTGATTATGAAAATCAGAGGCCAGCCATTGCCAAATAAAGGCTTCTTGTTGGTGTTGTTATGTGCTGTGGAGTCAGAACTGACCCATAGTTGACTCTCCAGGTGGTTTTCAGAGGCAGTAAATCGCATGGCAGGGGATTGCCCATGCTTTTCCTCTGGAGTCTTCGGGATTGCAGCGCAGCTTCTTACCACTAGGCCACCAGAGCTCCCTCAGATAGAGGCTTCTGGCAAGAAATTCCTTCCCAGGAAAACCTCCACCGGACAGGCAAATGCAGCACTGACCCATTCTCCCAGAGTGAGTGACCGACTAATGTGCGCCGTAATGAAGACTCCAGTCCTCCAGCTAATACATCTGTGTTACCTCGATGCCTTGTCTGTTTCCACAGGTGTCTTGGGAAAGGCAGACGGACAACCAGGAACCTCTGCTGTCTCGGATGTGTATACACAATCATAGCGATGCATCTCTCTCTCACCCTCCCCCACCCCCCTGCTTGCCGTCCAGACACCATGCACATCACAAAACCAGCACAAAGTGTGAGAACAGCAGGAACACGCACAGCAGGGCACAGTGGGGTCCAGGGGAAGCAATGGCAGAGCAGCCACTGAACGTTCCTAAAAAGTGATTACTTTTCAGCCCATGAGACACAAGGGAAGCTGAGCAAGGACAGGAGCTTTTCAGAGGTCCATCCCTCATGACAGTGCAAGTGGCTGAGTGCTAGGATGCTAACTGAAAGGCTGTTGGTTCGAACCCACCCAGAGGTACCTCTAAACAAAGTCCTGGATAATGGCTTCTGAAAGTTCATGGCCACGAAGACCCTATGGATGCAGCTCTATGCTGACCACACGGGCTTGTCAGAGTTGATATGATCTCATAACCACTGGTATTTTTTTGTTTGTTTGTTTTTTCTTCTCTGCCAAATAGTAGAACGTAGCTATAATTCTCAGAGGGAGCCTAAGTAATAAGATCCTTATTCTCAGAGAGAAAGGCAAATGCTTCAAGTCTTTTAAGACGTCCAAGGTGCCTCCTGGAACATGAAGCTGAAAGCAGAGGAAGCTAATTGCTTCTGGGCCTCCTATATACAGGGGACATTACCTTTCCTTCTACATGGGAACCAAGGTCTATCCAAACGGGCCTTGTCACATTCCAAGCAGGGACACCTGGCATATTCCAGCTCAATGGCTGTGTCTCTACAGACAACTCAAGCCAGCCTTCTCTGGAGCTGTCAAGACACTGAATTGCAGTAAAACGTATCCTGAAATTGGAACAATTAGGCCAGCAGCTGTGTTTGAAAATTTTGCTCTCGTAATCCACTATGCAGTTTGTGTTAAGTCTATTTCTTCTCTGGGATTCAACTGCCTGATTATTGGTCTAAGTAATTTTTGTCTTGCATTCCGATACTCCTCAGCACACACGCAGATGGACACGATGCGGCCCTTTCCTCTTCTACGGTTCTCTCTTTACTTGATGGGGTCAGAGATGGCAGAGGGAGGTTTAAGAAGTCACCTACCAGTCAGAAAAAAAAAAGAATTTTTTTCTGCTGATGTGGACTTAAAGAGATGAATGATAAAGAGGATACGACATTTTAAAAGATGTAAATAAACAAAGCAAGAGGAGAGAGGCTCCTTTGGAGGAAATTCAGAGGAATTTGAATAACATAGACTTTGTTCATTTCAATACTGTCAAGTAGACTATTGCAGCATTTCTCCTAATGGTGGTTGTTGTGTACCCTCACTTGGAACCAACTCACAGGTGACTCTCCAGTGGGTTTTCAGAGGTAGTAAATCGCATGGGAGGAGATTGCTCCTTTTTCTCTCATGGAATGGCTGGTGGATTTGAACCAGGTGTATTTGGGCTGGCAGCACAACTCCTTACGACTAAGCTACCAGAGCTCCCTTCTCACAATGATTCCGCCTTTATATTTTCCTTTCCCCGTGGCACCCAATATTCTGAGAGCCAGGTCACATAATCCTTCAGATACTCGGCTTTGAGTCAGATAAACCTAGGTTCACATTGTGTCATTTAGTATGACCCACAGCAACTCTATGAACAAAAGATCTGAATCCTGTCCTATCCTGCACCATCCTCACACTTTCTGACACATTAGAGCCCACTGTGGCAGTCTTCGTGTCAATCCACCTGGCCAGGGGTCTTCCTGTCCGTCACTGGCCCTCCACCTTTCCAAGCCTCATGTCCTTATTCAAGGAATAGCTCTTCCTAGAAACATATCTGAAGTATGAAGCATGTAAGGCAAAGCCTCATCACCTTTGTCTCCAAAGAGCACTCCGGCCCCATCCTCTTCAAGACATATGTGTTCTTTTGGCAGGCCATGGGATGTTCAGTGCTCTTGTCCACACCATAGTTCAAAGGCGTCAATAACTCTTCTGTCATCCTTATTCATTGTCCAGCTCTCAGATTCATAGCTAGTGACTGGAAAGATCATGGCCTGGATCAGACACACCTTAGTCCTCAAACTGACATCATTACTCCTCAATAATTTGGAGGCGTCCCTAACTGTAGACTTTCCTAGTGTGATACGTCTCCTGATTTCCTAACTGCTGGTACCAAGGGTATTAATTGTGGATGCAAGTTAAGATGAAGCTGTTGAAGTTTCAATCTTTTCTCTGTCCATGATGATGTTGCCTATTGGTCCAGTGATAAGAATCTTTGTTTTCTTGACACTGAGATGCAATCCAAAGTGAAAGCTGCATTCTTGGAGCTTCTGCAACAACTATTTCAAGCCCTTCTTACTTTCAGTAAGCAAGGTGGTTGTGCCATCTGCATAACACAGATTCTTGCTGAATCTCCATTCGATCCTGAGGCCACATTCTTCTTCACAGAGTCTGGCTTTTTGAATAATTTGCTCAGCATACAGGATGAATAGGTATGGCGAGAGAATACAAGCCCGATACACTCCCTTCTTAATTTTAAACCATGCAGTGTTCCCTTGCTCAAATTGTAGTGTTAGAGCTTATTAACTGTGCATTATTGGGTAACTAATTTTATCTGTTAATTGGAGATAGCATAGTACTCTCTTCTTAGAGATGTGGTTAGAATGGAAAACAAGATAATGAACATGGTGTCACCTAGTACATGCTAAACGCTTTACAAATAAGCTACTGTAGCTGTTCACGATCCCTGTTTAAAAGGAGGAAGTATGAGCTCAGGATGCAGACACCTTGCTCAAATGCAAACTGTGTTGCTTCCTCACTCTGGGAAAATGAAAAAGGTATTTAACCTCTCTACTGCCTTAAATTCTCTCATCTGTGAAATGAGAGAAGAGTAGGATCTACCTAACAGGATCTTCAAGAGAATGAGACACAGATACAGACACACTCACACTTTCTCTCACACTCTCTCTCTTCCTCCCCCCTCCTCCTTCCTTCTTGAGCGCGCTCTCTCTCTCTCTCTCTCTCACACACACACACACACACCCACACACACACACCCCTTCTCCCTCACTCCCCATCCCAGACGCTTGAGGAGAGGATTTATTAAACCCTACCACTGTGTCTTAAGGATTGATGATGCTTGCAAGTACTACCTCTCCCTGGGGTGTCTGCATTTTAATGCACTAACTCTAGAAAGCTGGCTCTATAAATCCAGAAGCTATGGAGCTGAGAGTGCATGCATGGAGAGGACAGGAAGTGAAAGGAGAGGCGAAGTGGAAGCAGAATGCAGATGTGTAGGCAAAACCCTGTGAAATTACACAGTGAGGATAAGAGCTGGCCTGTCCACCACCAGCCAGGGATTTCAGGGAACCAGGTCCAAATCCATGTCCACCTGAGAGTGCTCCTACACAGGACTCTCTCGGGACCATCTGTTGCTCATGACAGACCAAGGTGGTGTCCCTTTCCCATGGGGCATGCAGGACACATGTAAGCCCAAGCTCCCAAGTTCCCTGGACCTTATCTCATCTACCCTCAAACAAGCTTACAGAGAATAGGAAAACTGATTCATGTAGTATTAGACAAATTACAAAGCACCTTTTCCATACATAACACTGTGCACATGACAGTTCTGGTGGGTGCGCACGCACACACTCTCTCTACAAGTCAATCCACTGTTTTTTCCTTTCGATCTGAAAATGCTGACAAGTGTCTTTTTTCTGAAGCCATTACTGCCTCTGGGACCTAACTGGGTGGATTCCTGGGACTTCAAGACCTACATTTAATGCAACTGATAAGCAAGAAACTAATGAAAAATATCTAGGGGAGGAAGAAAAAGTGACTAAGGATCCCCAAATCTCCACACCAGTTTCTCAGCGTGGGGAAATTTCATGACAAGGATTTGAAGCTGTAAATGGCGGGAAACCACATCTCCTTGGTGGTCAGCTGGAACAAGACCTCAAGTGTGCTTGGCTTGTTGTATCCTGGGGAAATATGTGCACACGTGCAACCCACCTTCATCCACAGAGCTCCCAGAGCATGCCCAGGCCTCCCTGTCAGACAGGCCCCACCATTCCACCAGCTTCGACCCGGCCTGGCAGCTTGGAACCACACCCACTGTCTCTCATTTCCACAGTGCAGCTCCATGGCAGGAGAGGCTGTTTGGTTAGGCCCGTCCATTGCTACACTGACAGGCTGCAGTAAGCTGCCTCAGACTCCGGCTTTTATCTTGCCCCCGCTGTCTCTCTTTGGATGTCCTAAGTGAGCAGTTAACTGGGTTGGCTGGTAAGTCTGAGGGTGGTGTTCAAGTCTACTCAAAGGCTGGAAGAAAGACCTGGTAGGTGACCTACTTCTGAGGAATCAACTACCATCAACAATAGGCAACACAGCTCTCCTGTGCCCCACACGGGCCACCATGAGCTGGCTGGTGGGCTTTCCTCTCTGCTTCCCCGGGTTCTCATCCTATGGGTGGCCTGTTCCTCTCTCCTCACATTTGATTTCCAGCATCACTACGAAGCCGAGTTCTGGTCTTCCTTTAGTGCGTCCTCGTGGGAGTAGAAGCCCTGGTGGCACATCCTCACCGCAAAGGAAGCCTTCTAGAAAAGAGCTATCCCACAATTCTACAGTGGCCAAGAGTAATCTGGACAATTGGTTAGGAAACAAAACCAGACAGATGGGGGGTTATGAGGATGAAGAAAACGTCTAGATTCTTTTCTTCCTTAATCACAGTCTAAGCCTTCATGAAGGAAAAAAGAATCCTCACACAGATTCTCGAGGCTTGCTTACTCAGATTGCTGAAAACCACTTGGGATTTGACGGCCTAAGCCCCTCTTCCTCAAATAACGACCTTTCTGCCCCAGCCACTTATCTCTTCCCAGATTCATTTATAAATGCCGTCATTTATAAATGTCATCTGGGCCTAACGCACAGGGTCACGATGGTGATGATTTATCCCTCTGGGAGCATCGGGTGCACTGGCTCAGTGTGAATTCTCAATGAAGTTTCCAGGGAAGCATTCCAAGGCGCGCTGAGCCATGGGACTGTGACCAAGGGCGTCCCTCGCTTTAGAGCTAGGAGCCCAGGCCCCCAACACTCACGTGTTCGTCTGACGCATACAGGACTTCCATTAGTCGCTGCACGAGGTCGTCGTTTTCCTGCCCGTGTTCTTGGCAGAGCAGTTCAATCTCTCTCAACTTCCCGAAGTAGAAATCCCTCTCCTTTTCCACACCTTCGAGGGCCAGTTTTAACGAGTGTACCTGTGAAGAAAGGAGATGCGGGAAAAAAATAAGCAAGCAGCCAACTACGTCAGTGCATGGAGACCAGAACCACGAAAAGATGCAAAAGAAAGAGCAGGGCAGCTGCTGGGGGCCCAGGCCTGGGTGCACGTGCCCAGCCCCGTAACACACGACTCGCTGCCTTCAGATGATGGCGTGTTGGTTAGCTAGCTGGTGTCAGGGTGGCCACTGAGATGGACAGTCCAGCCAGGCTCTGAGCATGCTCTCCCCTTCTGCTAACACAGGTGGGCGTTCAGCTTTTATCAATGTACTCATAATGTGCAGGGAGGGGAGGTGCCAGACAGACTGTGACCGTGACACTGGGCTCATCTCAAGGACTCTCCTTTCCTCAGTTCACTGGGATTCAGAGCCATCCAGAGCTCTGCTCACTAGTGACATGGAGCCAAACGAGGCCAATGCTCTCTGCTGAGAAACAGGCTCTTGGCCAGAGAGTGGCTGAGTGCATCTGTCTTCACTTCCTGACTTCTGGCTCTGAAGACACCAGTGGATGGCTGGGGACTTACTGAAGTGCTGCTCTCATGCCAAAATGCCCTCATCCCCTCTTTTCACTTCCTTGATGCAAGTTCAAGGCATTTCTGGGGCCCTGCAGCCTTCTCTTAGTGATCACATAGCTCCTTAGAATGGGAGGAGGCCAAGGTGGGTTGAGGTCAAGGTGGACCCCAACAATGCTATCCTTGGGGGCTGGAGAGACACTGATGGGGGAATATGAATCTACATTCAAACCTCAGGTTGCCCCATTCCTGTGGGCACAGCTGTCACTCACAGGTCTAAACGCTAAGCCGCTTCCTGGCTTAAGAATATCAGGGTTTTTGCTGCTGTATGCATTTTATCTTTAGACAGAGAATAGTCTCCAGGAAGTTAATCAAGTATTTCATAGTCATCTTCACATGAAATCTCTCTTTCATTATAAGAAAAATCATCCACAAGAGAATTCTCCGAAATTATTTTTGAATGCAGATTTTCTTCTACCTTCTAACTCTGGGCTTGGTGCATGGCACTTATCTGGAATTACGGATTCGTTCCA